CTCTGTGCCACCACTTAACCCTATCCGTACGTCGAGTTATACTATCGTATCCATACGATGTGGGGAACTCTGTGCCACCACTTTCCAAAGAGGAAATTTACTCGTTAATCCGATCCGTACACTTTGCATAGCAGTCTGTCAAAATGATTTTTTTTAGAAATACTGAAAGTTTCAAAGAGATATTCGCGCAAGAAGTATTCTAAAATGTTACTAGAAGTATTCTAAAATGTGAACAATACAACCCCTGTGGTACAAAATGACCCCAGGCGTACGGATAGGGTTAAGCGCAAAGGGGCTATCCCGAAAAATTATGTTTTGAGAAAATCGAAGTTAAAGTGTTTGCCCCTTGTTCAGTTTCTTTAAAAGGCAAGGAGAGCTTTCTCTTTAACCAAATAAATATACACACCAATTAAACCCAACTTCTCCTATAGGTAGAGCAAAGCCCACTTTTGGTGTAGGTCAAGATTTCTGGAAACCCACCAAAATCTGGGGTAGCCCACTTGTTCTTAAAAGCGACCATATAGAAAAGAGTTCTCCTTTTGAGGAGAGAGTAGTGAGTGGTTTGCTCCTTCTTTCCTATCATCAAACATCTGTCGTCCTTATCTCCCTATCCTTCTTTGTTTGTGTATGTAACTCTCTTGTAACACATAATCTATTCTTCGGCACTGATATGTCCGTATTGTGTTGCAAGTGCCATAAAACTCTAACAAAAACTAAAAGGAGAGAAGAGGAAAGAAGATAAGAGTTAACTGTTATTCTTTTCTCTAAAATACAATTTTTTTAAACCCTCAGATACTAAACACTTTTTAAAATATAAAAGCCCCCCCCCCCCAAAAAAAAAGAAAAAAAAACAACCCCAAAAAGTAGAAATGCATTGAGTTCTGACGTCGAAACCAGAATAAATAACACTGTAATTAAACTGTACTCGCAGTGTGGGCAAAAGTGAAGTTACTGTTCTACTGTTCTCAAATTCAAAACGGAAAAATGAACCCTAAATAAATGTGACACACTCCTCTATCAGTGAAGCCAGAAAAATCGCTGTGTGCAACTCACTCTTTTCGCAGTGAGGAAAGAAAAGAAGTACTTGTTATTTTGTTCTCAAATTTGAAACAAAAACCCCCAAAGAAAGAAATTTTCCGCACATTTCCAACAACGACGAGGCCAGAAAACAGGTCGGAATGAAAAGCTCACTCTCTTCTCTCAGTGGGGACAGGGAATAAAAGAACAATAACCTACGTTCTTCTGGTTGTGAAGGTAGAAAAACTATACCCATAAGTCTTCTCTCTCCTTGTGAGAGGGTGGTTATACTCTCATCCCCTTCCCTCCCCCATCCTCTTTCCTCACCGTCCTTCGCCATCCTCCTTTCTTCCCCTCCTTCTTTCTACCACCACCCCCCCATCCTCTTCCGTGCCCCTCCCCCATCCTCCTCTCCCTGCTCCATCCTCATCCTCTCTGCCCCTCCCTCGCCCTCCTCCCTCATCCACCTCCCCCATCCTCATCCCTCATCCCGACCCTCCTCTTCCATCCTCCTCCCTGTCCCTCCCCGACCCTCCTCCCGCATCTTTCTCCCCCATCCTCCTCCCCACATCCCTCTTCCCCCATCCTCTCTGTCCCTC